CCCCAAAACCCCAAAACCCCAAAACCCCAAAACCCCAAAGCTCTTAAATATAATTGAGCTGATCTGGTTATGAAATGTTTGAATACTTCCTCCCTTCTGAGGTTGGTTTCAGCCTGAAATCAATCTCATCTCCAGTGTAATTATAGTACTTCATCTCTTTTTTCCCGCTATTGAAGAAGGAAGTATTATTCAGCTTCGAACCTGAGGCTAATTGCACTAAAAGTTATTTCCAAAACTATACGTTTTTCCTTGCGTGCTTTCCTTAAGACAGGTTCGAAAGTTCTGAAATCAGGCTGTAAGGGAGCTTCAGGGATTGGTAAGAACCCTGAGTAGTTCTTCTTAAGAATTTCCTCTATCTCAATTTCTAGAAATAGTCAACAGAAAGAGTACGTTTAACCACCCTCATTCTTGGAGTCTTAGACTTGAAATCATCAGCTGGCTTATTAAACTTATGCTCGTACTACAGCTATTCGCTGAGACTTACCTTCAGAAGTGAAGCTTTCTTCAGCAAGTCATAGCTCTTGAAGTTCCTTGAGGTTGAGCAGTGCGGGACCTAAAATTATGAAGGAATTTTGTACTTTGAGACCAAGGAATCTTGTCTTGGCAAATTTTGTAGCTAAAAATTAGGATTAGAAGAATACTTGGAATTTTAGAGGGATGTTTGGATGAAGCTTTGCGGGTTTGAGTGGTCTCTTTGTCTTCTTCTATGTGGAATGAGGCTTTTGAGAGTTTTGAGTAAAGGCGTTGAGGATAAAACTTGTTTGGGATTTTATATGATTGGTAGATTGAAACTGAAGAGGCGTTTTTATGAATTTTATTAGTTTTTTAAGGAGAGAGGTAAGAAATATAGTTTGGCATTAAATGATCTTTTGAAATTAATTTACCCAAAATTTGATCTGGAAGATATTTGATGGTAGATGGTAAGAGCTCAACTTGAACTTCTTTATTAAGTTTATCTCAAACTTCAACTACAAATCAATTCCAAATGTTACCAGCCAAGAGATGTTTCATTGCAGGCTTCCTGGATACCACTCCTGTTGGTATTCTCTCAAGATTGGCTGAGCCAAACCCATGCTGAGTCCTAAAAGTCACTTCCAAATCCTACTCTGCCTGAGTCTGTCACTCAAAATCCACGCCAGGAGTTTTCTTCCAACTTAAATCTTGATTTTCTACATTTTTATTGACAAATTTCTCAATTTTCTAAATTACCTCTTCTGAGAAAATCCTCGAGATCTTTACTCTCAAGTTTATTTCTAAAACTTAGAATAAAATTACAGTTAGGGACCTGACCAATAGTTTGTTCTTCTTCAGCTCAAACTGAGTATTCTCTAAGTTTTGCAGGAATAACTTCTTCTCATCCTGTAGATTTGTGATCTGTCTGGTGAGAGTCTTCACTTGGAATTCCTTGTTAAAATCTTGTTCTTCCAATTTCTTAATTCTTGTGTTTTTCTAAATATGATCGATGAGAGTACGTTTTTAATGAGGTTATAGAACTTCTTTCTATATATAGTTAGTTGGAAGAGTACTTCTCATGCTCAACTTGTAACTCGAGGTCTCTACGATCACGAGAGATTAGAGAGAAATCATCCTTCACTAATTTCAGTTTTGATACTAGCTTCTTATTTGCTTCATTTTTCTCTTCAACTTTAACCTAAAAATAAAAAAATGCTATACCTTAGATTTTTGTAAGAGTTTCTTCATAGCCTCAAGCTTGACCAACAAAGGATCGGGCAACTCAGTCATGGTAGAAGCCTCCACTAACTCCAGCTCATCATCCATATCAAAAACAGTATTCTTCCTACCTAAACCCATAAATTTCAACCCCTACTAATCCCTGAATGAATCTTATCAAACATAATCTTTGCCGTATTAACCTGCAACCCTTGCGCACTAGTCTTAAATCCACTCTCAAGCGTTCCATATCTCTCATAATCCTTAATATTCGTATCTGAAAAAGCAGGAAATAGCCTAAAAGTCACCTTCCCACCTACCTCGCATTAGCTTCCATATTATGATGAATCTCACTCAGTTCGAAATCGACGCCTGAGAACTTCTTGTTCTTAATATTTTCTGGAAATTAAGCTGAAAAGTACCGATTTGTTCTATATCTTTAGTCAGGTTTATTCGGTCGTATTCTTGGAGGGCATGGTCGATTTTTTGTTGCTGCTCGAAGGAGTTTAAGCTGGGACTGGAGAGTTTGAATTTGGAAAGGAGGTTTAGGAGTTTGTGGTTGTCTTTTGTGTGGAGGATTAGGGATCTTGTTAGCATCTTAATCTCGTTTACATATCAAATTTGGAACTTATTTGAACGTATCTCTGACTAAATGGCAAATACAGAGTTCGCTAAATGTTCTACTTGAAATCTTACTCAGCAGGTATGGAATGCGTCTTCTTAATCTACAAATATTTGTCAGGGTTTACCTCAAACAGTTCTGAAATTAGTTGATCTAATCACTTTTGAGTATCTATGGGAAATAAGATGAAAACAATAAAAGGCAGTATTTAGCAATAGACTTACCTCTTAAGCTAATTTAAAGACGAAAATGGGTCCCAGTACAGCCCTTTGCGCTTTTCCATTCTTTTAAGATTGCCTATGTAAAAAATGATATGCACTAAATCTGACAAAATTTGAATAAAAAAATAAAGCATAAATGATCAAATTAAGCCCAATCTATCCTACAAAAGGACAATTTTAAGTCCATAAAATTATCAATCACAATTTTCTCAGCTTCCGACTTCATCAGCCTGCAACATACATTGTTTGAACCTCTAAATCTCAATCAAACACCTTCAACTCACTTCGTCAATCTAAAATAACCACAAAAAACTAACTTTCATCGCTAATTCCTCTAATATCTCTGACTCCATCACCTTATTTCCCCCTGTCTTGACCTCCTGAAGTTTCTATCCCATCACAACCCTCATCACTCCAATCTTACCATATAAAACCCACCCATTTTCGATTCAAAAAGATCTTTCAGCTTTATTTTGGAAATCTTCGAAATCTTAGCTATATATTCTGGAACACCTTGGGTTCTTTCTTGTACACAAAATCTTTCTCTTTCAAGTCAGCCTATTTTCAAAACAGTTAGTGAATCCGAGATCTTGAAGAACAAGTATTTGCAGGTTAGAAGGGAAGTTTTGTCAAGAACGATTTGGGTGGCTGAATGGGGAGAGTCTTGAGAGGGAAGTTTGGGGTTTTGGGGAAATGGGTAGGTGAAGGTGGCTGTTTGGGGGAGGTGGGGTTAAAGAGGGGGTTGGGAGGAGGCTTGTGGTGAAATTTGGGTGAATTTAGAAATAGATGTTTTAGGGAGGTTGTGAGGGGAAAGGAGAGTTAGGTGAGGTATTAGTGTTTGAGAGTCTTTTTGGAAGGGTTTTTGTATGGATGGGTTTAAAGTAAATTTTTGGCCAAGATAGGCTTTAGAAGTCATTTTTTTTTAGGTAAGAATGATTTTTACTTAAAATGAAACTGTAAAAAATAAAGCAATTCTTTATATTTTTGCACAAATGCTACCAAAATTCACAAAATCTTTAAAACTTACCTTCTCTATCCCAATCTTTGGTCAAAGGCTCTCAATGGGTTTTAACCCTCCTTCCAGCCTTCTAATTCCTCTTCCACTTTTCATCACCTGTATCCATATAATCCGGAGTCCTTGACACCTTAATCCTTGAATACAAATTTCTCCTCTGTTTTAACTTCTTCTGCCTAAAAATCTCCTTTCTCACTTACGAATTTGGTGTCTTTGTCTTTGTCAGTTTCAAGCCAGAATTCTTCTAAAACCGCTAAACCTCAAAATACCTAAAACTCGACTAGGACGTACCATTACTGGCTTAGAAACCGAGCTGAGCCTGGGCGCTTGTGTGCTGGATTCCTAGGGATGAAACAAGGAGTACTTTGGAATCTTGGGTGAATTTCAAGGTGTTTGAACACCCTGGCCCATCAAGGGTCATTTCTAAATCTAGGGGGTTAGGATGGAGGAGATTAGGCAAGTTTTAGGGTGGGAGAGCCGAGTGAAGAAGGGGATTTTGGAGATTAGGATGTGGGAAAGGAGTTAAGCTTTTAGAGGAGTGAATGGTTGGGGAAGAGTTTTCCCAAAATGATCGGAAATAGTCTGATTCCACTTTTATAAATAACGGAAGATTAAGATTGCAAATAATAATACTTCTTCCCATGAATTTATAAATCAATATAAGCTCAGTTATAATTTTAACAAAATCCTAAAACCTCTGAAACAACCGGTCATTCCCATCTATTCCCAAAGCAGCTCCACAAATCCCTATAAACTCCAAAATTATCTACCTTCAAACATTCATTCTTTCAACTGATGATATTCTATAAATAATCAATACCCCAATAACTTACTTTTACAATTCCTATTCTCTGGAGTCAAATATGCTCTTGACCTCTCCCTCAAAATCTCATTCCTACTTAATTTGTGAAGGGATTTATCGAGTCTTTTGGTCTGTTGGAGTGTGGTTAGTTTGGACTTGAGTGACTGGAGACTTTCCATGAGGAGTTTGAATTAATTATTTATATCAAATTTTGTTGGTTAGTGGGGTTTTGGGGTTTTGGGGTTTTGGGGTTTTGGGG